GTTTTCAGAATACTTATCACAATTGAATTAAAACGAATGTTTGTCTCCTCTGCTAGAATGTAGGCTCCAGACCCGCCTTGCTCATCACTCTCCCTTAGTGCCTGGCATAGTTTAGGGCACATAGTAGGCCCCAAATAAATAAATATTTCTTGAATGAGTGAAAACAATCAAGGATACACCTTGTGAAATTACTTGCTTTAAGAGGACAGGATGAGGAGCCCAAAGAGACAAAGGACTGGCTAGAAAGGTGGCATCAGGATAGTACAATGTCATGGAAGCCAAAAGAACAGAGCCTCAAGAAGAAGAGAGGACCAATGCTTACTTCCTCACCATTGCTTATCCTTAAGCCTTGTAATCATATCCAGCCCCCATCACGGTGCTGAAGCTGTTATCATGGAGGTAGCCACTGACTTCTTAGTTCCAAGTCTAGTGGCCTTCTCTAACTCGTCCTCCTCATCTGTGATGCAGCATTTCTTAAAACTTTCCTGACATTGCACTCTCTCCATTCTCTTCTCTGGCTGCTCTACATGTAGTTCCCAAAATTCTGTCATCTGCCTTTGCTCTTCACATGTAACCCCTGAGATGTCCAACCCTTCACTGTTCTATGGGAGAAGGCTTCCAAATCTGTACTACCCCAAACTTCAATCTTTTGTGTGAAGGGCCTTTCGGGATACCTCCACATGGGTAGCCTTTGAGTATGTCACACTCAGGATGCTCTAAATTGAGTGTGTTGTCTTCTTCAAATATTTTCTTCCTCCCTGATGCTGTTTTATAGTATTACAATGCCCTTAGGAATCCAAGAGTAATACTACAGCATTATTTTAAACTTATTTTCCCCCCTAACCGCTGCCTTCTATCCGGTCAGTTGTGAATTCCAAACATCCTGCCTCTGCAATTCCCTTCACAGCCCCCTTCTTCATTTTCACAAGTTCAGGCTTCTGTTACCTCTTGCCTAAATTCTATAATCCTCCTAACGGATTGCTCCAACTTCAATCTTCCCCTCTACAATCTGTTCTATGCATATTGACACCAATGCAGCATCTGCAGACCTAGGCTCAAATTCTAAGAGTCCAGGAATTGTTGCTTTGAACAAGTAAGTTGACCACCCCAAGTTTTATTTATAAATTAAGGGCTTGGATTTTTTTTTAATGAGATAATATATATTAAATGGCAGTTGAATGAGCACCCATTCCCAAAGTCTAAGGAAACTTTACACACAGCACTCAATCGCTCTCATTACCACTGGTAAGTTTACATAAGTAAATCTTGATGTAGTCATGATTTTCTGAATAAAGCATAAATTCTTTGGCGTGGCACTCAAGGGCCCAGGTGAACTGACCCTGAGCTCCTTACCATTCTGACCCCTCACTTTTCCTTTTCATACACCCTGTACTCAAGCCTCGCAGACTTCGAATTTGCTTCTTTAGGGTCCCTGCCTTTTTAGGTTGCCTGCCTCTAGCCCTTTGCTTAGAAATTCTTGCCTTCACCATCTCTGTATGTACAAGTACTAATGACTAAACATGATTCCCTCCTCAAAGCCTCCTCTGGCTCCCCCTGCCTTCCTTCCTCCCTCTCTTTTGTCAGGTCTTTTCTAACTTGCAAAGTCCTTTGCTTTTGTCATCACCACTGTCTTGGTGAGTGGCTAAACGAGGGATTCATACACTGTCTTTTGTAAAGTCTACAAGCAGGAAAGGGCTTACAGGGACCATGACAGTTCCTGCCGAGCTGTGGAAAGTTTCCTCGTGGGTTCAGGATTACATGAGAGCTCATATAGTATCAAAATCCTTAGTATCCCATTTAAAACAAGATTCACATCTTGCTGTATTGCTTAATGAGACACTCAGTAGCCATCTTTAGATAATAAAAGCACCAAAGGATGGTAGTGACTGATGTCCAACAGGTACAAACTAATACTATGGAGTTTCCACTTGCCACTAAATAAAAGCTCGTAAAGCCTAGAGATCTGAGATGAAAGGCATTTTGTAGATTTAAAACGTGCAAGATCCAACCAGTCTTCTGTATCCTCTTCTAGTTAGAACTAATCCTGCAGGAGAGGAAACCGATGAAAAGGCATTGTAGAATCTGAGGTCTCCAGATTGTCCTGGGGTCTAGTGGTTTAAGTCGGGAGCAGACAAAGGCAAAATGCCAGGTTCAAAACTTGGAAAGGGAGCTGTGTTAGGGTGTGAAGAGACTCTCCCTGGCTGCCTTTAATTAGGAAGACAGCAGGGAGGGCCGGATTGTTCTTTCTTTTAAGTTCACTGAAGGAAAATCTGACACCAAATTCTGTTCTCAGGAATTTCTAAATGAGGAGAGAATTCTTTGAACTCTGTAATCAACTAACTGGAAACTAATTTGAAATTTGGCTTCAGCACATCCATTTGTGGTTATAGGAGCAGGGGAACCATCTGAAGTGGCTCTCTGGAGCTCCCTGTACTTCTCTTTTTAAAAGTTTACACACAGCATGTGAAATGAACAGATGCTTTTTTTTGTTGTTGGAGCTATCAGGGTAACAAGAGGCTGAAAGCTGTATCAGGTATTTATTTCAGTCACTGCAGTGGCTGTTGGCAGAGTTCCACATACCAAAACCGAGGAGAAACTCAGGAACAGATAAAAAATAAGACATGGAGGAAAGAGACATTGTGCTTCTTCTCTTGATTTCTTTCTAAACACATACTGATGATAAAAAAGCGAAGCACTCTTTGGCTTCTTTTGGGGTGGGGACGCGAAGGATTGGGCAACTTGATGTAATCCTTTCTATAAGGTTGTGTTTGAACTTTTGAGGGGAGGTTTCTCTGTAGTACTGTCCTAACACTTTAGTCAGAGAGTGCGACTTAAGCTAAAAAGTAGTTTGAATTCGAACTTCGTAGTTGCTAAAATGCTCCACTTATTTATTTTATACTCTGGAGCATTGGTTGGTGAGAGGGGTAAGAATAGGGTAGATAGGTGTGGGGCGGGATTAGGAGAAAACGGAATTGATTGGCACCTGACATGGTGAGCAAATGGGAAAGGAATTTCTGCCCATGAGGTTTGTGATTCCACATCAAGATCATTCTTTATAATTGAATAACCACCCACCCTTAGTCCAGAGCCAGAATTCCTCAGATTCTTCCAACCAGAGGGGCCCTGGCACAGTAAACAGTCTGTTAAGATATCTGAACACTTAAGTGTGTTTGGCCAGGGAGATTTGCTAGTGAAATTGATCTTGCCTTCTCTAGGTTCTTCCAATTGTACTGAATAATTAAAGGAAAATTAAAACCTGGGTTCCCTGAAATGTTAAGTATCAGATCGGTAAGTTGATCAACCCTTAGAATCACAGTATGTCAGAGTTCGAAGGGATCTTAAAATTCATTCTGAACAAACTGATAGAGGATTTGTAAGTCTGTTTCCCTAAATCTCTGCCAAGTGATTGCTTGAACTTCTGCTCAGACAACTCCAGCGTCAGGAATGTCATCGCTTTAGGGGACGTCCTATTCTTTGGATAGCTATGAGAACGCTCTTGGTTGGTTCAGAGTCTGCCCTTGGATCTTAGTGTGCCAGCTTAAGGAGACATCCAGAACAAGCTTCCTTCCTCCCACGTCTCGGTCCTTCAGATACTTTTTGTTGATCGTATTGCCTGGAACCGTCTTTAAGTCAAGCATTCTTGGTTCTTTCTGCCATTTGTTCCTCAGAAGATAGGGTTTCTAGTATCTTGCAGTAAAGGACCAGGAGGACTCAGGGTTCTGTGGCAGCTCCTTTAAAAGCTTTGGAACTAAAGAATAGTAAAGTTAGAAAGGCTGTCAAGACACAATCTAGTCTGCACCCCCTTCTTTGAGTTTACAGATGAGGAGAGAGCCTTTTGGATATGCGTGGGCTGAATTGATCAGCAGCCTCTTTCCAAGGGAGAAATGAAGTGTAAATCATTTTGCCAGTGAAAGGTCTTTTAGTTTAATTCTGATCACAGTCGTCCTCCTCAGTTTTGCCAAGGACCTCTCTGGCTCCAGTAAGCCTGAGGCTCAGCTCAGGGTTTCACTGCCAGATCGCTATACACCAACTATTAGCTTCACTTACTATTTGTGTAAAGGATGGAAATAACTTTTCCATAAGTTTGACCATTTATATGGACCATATAGTCCAACAGAGATTCAGAAATGTTAATAAACTTTTTTTTCCTTCAGAAAAATGACCATCACAGAGGGAGCCAGGGTACTGTACCCCCTCAGAAATATAGCTGCCTCTGGTGGACAGTTGCTGGGGTTGCCCTTTGTACTTTCTTTGTTTAAGCCAGAAAGCTGTGGACTGGATTGTGGGCCACCTTTCTCTGGTATTTTGTCTTGAAACTTGAAATACAGACTCATGCTTTTCAGCTGGCCCCAGAGGAGGCTCAGGTTTCCTTGGGTGTGCACAGCAATAAAGGAGCCCAGGTGTTTGGGCGTGGGGCACTGCTGCTGGCATCTCCATTGCCCCTCCCCCAGTCCCTATGCCTCAGTCATTGACACCGCCCAGGTCTGTGGGCAGAGAAATCCTGGTGGGAAAATGGGCCAAGACCTGATGTATGTGAGAAGGGGGAGAGAGAAGGTGCCTAGAGCTTATCCAATAACTTGGTCTCTGAGCGTAACCAAATTCCTTCGGACACCCGGAAAGTGCCGGGTTTGAGGCTGGCGTGTTCTTGGGCCCAGCAGGGGCGCGCTAAAGGTGACATTGGGGGGATTCGGACAGCCTTTGGCGGCAGAGCGAGGCAAGCGCCCGCCGCAGCCGGCGCGACCCTGCTGGCAGATGGGGCCCCGAGTGGCCCTTGCCAGACAGAGCCTGCTGGCTGGAGGAGGCGGGGGAGCCCCTTCTGGGTTCACTCGTCCTTGGGCTTGGGCTGGGCTCGGAGCCCGGCGGGATGGGACGCAGTGGGGGCGGCAGGGGGCCGGGCCGGTGGAAGGAGGGCGGGGCTTTCCTTTGTCAGGGGATTTGCGCCGTGCCGCCGAGACTCGCGCGGTGCCGCTCCCCTCCTCTAGCTCTTGGGGGCGGAGCTTTCCCTGGAGCCGGGGGGCGTGGGGGCGCGGGTTGAGCGTAGCGGCTGGCGCCCTGGCTCCCTCGCCTGGAACCGCGCAGAAGCCCCTCCTTCGCTGCCTCGGCCTCCAATCCTCTCCGCCGCCTACTCCCTCTCCGCTCGGGTCGCTCATTTTCCCTGCCCCCGCCCGGGCTCCGCCTCTGCCCTCCTCCCTTGGGCTCCGCTTCGCGCTCCCGGGCTTCCAGGGGGGCTGCCCGGGCGGGGCGGTGTGGCGCGGGAAGGGGGAGAGCCGCCCGCCAGCCCAGCACTTCCAGTGAGCGGCGAGCGAGCGGGCTGCGCGGCGCGAGGGAGGAGGGCTCGCCCCCGCCCGGCCCGAGCGGAGCCTTTTGTTCCCAGCCAGAAGTTTGCATGCCGGGACCGTGACAGCTGCGGGCGGGGAGGACGGCGGGGCCGGCGGCGGTGGAGAATAGAGGCGGCTGCTTGACATGCAGCCCACGGCGCGGCGACTGCGGGTCGGGGACTGGCAGCGGCGGGGGAGGCGGCGCCCACAGCACGCGGGACTAGATACCGGAGGGACAAACTAACTTCCTGAGCGCGGAACCGGAGGCCGGCGCGGCCCGGAGCCACCTGCCAGCCTGCGGTGAGGCAACCCTGGCCCTCGGGGCGCGCGACATGGCGCGGGGGAGTGGGCCGCGCTAAGCGAACCCTCGCGACAGACCCTCGGCCGCTGCTGCAGCTTGCCGGCCTTCAAAGGCCCGGCGCCGGGCTCCACTCGCCCTGTTTTGCGGTCACAGCGCTGGGCTGTTCTGGGAGCCACAACAATGCCATGATGTTTTGGAGACAGGAAGCCCCAAGCTGGCCCCGAATGAAGGACTTCCTGTGTTTAAAGTTGCAGGAATATCCGCCGACCAGCCCAGTTCAAACGCAAACACCCGAACCAGGGAGGACGAATGGCTAATTCAGACCAGCTGGACTCTCCAGGGCTGGAACTGAGGATAAAATGAAAGGAATTCTTAGGAGCTTGGGCCATACATGAAGACTGGAGTGGCTGTGCCATTGTTGCTAAGGGACCCAATCGGTATAAATCCTCTGCTTCCAACTATGGGTGAAAAGCGAGTGGAACTAGATACTGAGTAAGGCTTGTCAATGTCAGAGGATATTTTTTTTTATTGACTAAATTAGAGCAGTGCTCTTTAAAACAAAACAAAACCCAGAAGCCATACAAGGAATTATTTCATGTTTGTTGATTAAATTATACCACTTACCTGCAACTATGAGGCTGCTAGCCTGTGAGGAAAAAGCTGTTCCTCTCAGAGTTTCTTGCAGAAGGTTTCAAAGTGGAACTTCCAGGCCCTTCTGGAGGGCAAATCCAGTTGGCGATTTGGGGTTATGAACATGTAAAGGGATTTTTAACTTACGCAGAATGCATTTTGGGGGAACTCTTCAAAAACTTTTAAAAGGTTGATGGTTCATTTTGATTGAAAAAGTATGGGTAAGCCACTCAGCAGGCCAGACTGTTTAAGGCAGAACCCCACCTGCCTGGGGAAAGGAGAAGAAGAGGATGGTTATATAGAGGATTGCTATGTTCCACAGCGGTCTATATATGATACAATGAGGATAAATGAACAAATTGACCAGGGGTCAAAGCTTAATCAGACTTCAAAAAGCACCATGGAAAAGATGGAAGGAAGTACTATATCCAGCAATGGTACGTTAGGAGCAGCATCTGTTTTTGAGTCTAGAGCACCAGAAGGCAAAAAGCTGGATGAGAGAATAATATTCGATGCACTGAAGCTAAGCAGTGATGTTCAGAAGTCAGCGCCTGTGCCACCCAGACGGCGACCAAATGCGGAACGCAAAGACAATGTTAACAGACGATCATGGAAGTCCTTCATGCCACCCAATTTCCCGGAATTTGCAGAAAGGATGGAAGCTTCGCTCAGTGAAGTTTCAGAAGCTGGTGCTTCAAATCCTTCCTTGCAAGAGAAGAAGGAATCCAGCTCTGCATTAACAGGAAGCTCTAGTCGTTTGGACCACAGGGAACCTCAGTCAGAGTCAGTAACCCTGGAACATGTGTCCAAACCTGTAGGTATTCCAGAAGTACAAGATGTGAAAAACTTAAGTGGAGATGGCCAAGACTTCAGATTTCAGCAGCACAGTGAGAGCTCGCCCCATGAATTCCAGCCTCGAGAATCAGAAGCTGCAGCAGCAAGTGGGAACACAGATGTAATGCAGGAACACAGATTCTCGAGTGCAACCTGGCCCAGAGCCATGAAAAGTTTGGCTAAGGGAGGCTTCAGTGAGAAGCAGCACCCCCTTGGGGACACAGCTTGCACTGTGGAAATACCACCTCTCTCCCCATGCCTCAGTGAAGAGCTCTTGGATCCAGAATTGCATGTTTTCATAACCCCCAGCCTGAGAGAGAAAACAGAGTCAGAACTAAAGTTTGAGGAGGATGAGCGATGGATCATGATGGAGGCTGAGGAGGAGTGGGAGCAAGAGAAACTGTCAGAGAGAGGAAAGACTTGTCTAATGGCGGATGAGAAAAAGAACAGCCTGGCAGATATTTTGGAAGAAAGACAACAAATAAACACTATAGCAGCGGTGGAGGATGGATCCGGCTGCTCGGCTGCTGTCTTGGGGAATTTTGACCACCTAGCTCTTAGTTGGATTTGTTGCTCTGATGACCTACAGCCAGCTAAGGACCATCTGGCTTCTGTTGTCAAGGATACATCTCTTGATTACAGTTGTGTTCTCGCAGGTGAGAGTGGGGTAGGTGAGCTGAAAAACGGATCTGCCCAGGAGCTAGAGGGTCTTGTTTCCGATTTAGAATACGCTGTTGGTCCTGTCGATTCAGAGCAGCTCTCTGACACAGATTCAGTGCAGATGTTTCTTGAACTTGAAAAAGAGTGTTTATGTGAAGAAGGAGTGACTCCTGTAGTTGAGCTGGAGAACCAAGCCTCTTTTGAAGGGCTGGCCCCATTCCAGGCTGCAGAAAATTCACTGGTAATTAGTCATTTTCCTGGGGCTGCCTTAGAAAAGGAACACACAGGCCTTTTAAACGTAAGGGTAAAGGACTGTGATGCTGGACTGGATTGTGAATATTTTAATGCCCTGGCTTCTTCTCAGGTGCCTAATACTATGGAACTTACTGACCACTCTGATACCATGAGGGACACTTCCACTGTTAGTGAGGAGGAGTGTGAAAAAGTGCCTTTTAGCCCCACGACTGAAGGGGAATTTAAGTTCAGACACCCTGCTGATCTGGAGTCACCGGGAAAGCTGGACCCAGGAGGGTTGCCCAACTCTGATCGCAGGGCTTCTCATAAAGAAAACTTATCAGCCTTCGAAGCTGAGCTGGCCAAAGAAAATGGCAGTTTGTCCCAGGTAGACAGCAGTCAAACTGAGGGGAATGTTGAGTGTGTTGAGAGGGTCTCCCTCAGTTCTGCTTTTAGCTATGAACTAACAGCTATTACCTCAGGATCCGATGTAGAGGTGTTACCGGACGCTTCCCGTTTACTAACAGATGAGATTTATTTAGAAAGTGAGGAAGGAGCTATTAATCAAGAAAATACCATTCTGACTTCCTCCGGAAATGTGCTCCCTTGCGAATTGTCCATGGGGAAAGTTTATGGTGAGGCACAAGAGCTGGGTTATGAAGCCCAGCTTTTGGAAGACCGAGCCCCAGCACATTTTCGTAGAGACTCCCCGGAACAGGTGGTCCAGGATCTCCAGGGGAGGTCCCCAGAGTCAGAGATTCTGAGTCTGCACCTGCTGGCTAGAGGATGGAGACACAGCAGTGATGGCGAGGAAACTGTGAATGATGTAAAGCCCAGGCTGCCTGTGGCATCGTTGAAGGGAGGGAAGACAGAAATGAGAGATTCAGATGCATTGCTGAATATCTTTCTGGAGGAACAAGTTACCACGGCTGGTAATACTGAGCCGGTTTTGGAGGAGTGGGTATCCATCCCACAGAATCCTGCCCCAGCTGCTGCACTGTGCACTATAGAAGATGCCTTCAATGCTGCAGTGCCCGCCCCAGAGGAGTCTGCTATAGCTGCTGTTCCAGTGCCCTTTCCACAGGAGGACATGCCAGTTGCTTCAGTGGCCACCATCGAGGCACATGTTCCAGCTACTTCAGTGGTCACCATACAGAAGGATGTCCCAGCTGCTGCACTATCAGCCCCACAGGGGGCTGCTGTCCCAGCTGTTACAGTGCCTGCTTCGGAGGGGACTGCTCCAGGTGCTGCAGTGCCCACCACAGGGGGTGACATCTCAGAGGGCTCTGTCACCCCAGCTGCCTCAGTGCCCACCCCAGAGGAACCTGCAGCCCCAGCTGCTGTAGTGCCCACCCCGGAGGAGCCTGCAGCCCCAGCTGCCTCAATGCCCACTCCAGAGGAGCCTGCAGCTCCAGCTGCTGCAGTACCTACCCCAGAGGAGCCTGCAGCCCCAGCTGCCT